AGGAGGAGCTGGGCTGGGTGGGAGGGAGGGAGGGAGGGACGAGCCCCCAGTCTGCTCAGGGGACAGAATGTGTCCCAGCTGCCCCGGAGGCGTTGCCCAGGCCCCGCCCAACGGGGGTGGGGGGGGACAAGAAGATTGGCGGCAAGGGTGACCGAGGAGGGAGGAGGGGGAGAGGATGGGAGCGGGAGGATATAGACATATGATCAGGGTGTTGGAGGAGAAGGAGGAGAAGAAGAGGGGATGAGGTCGCATGGGGATGAAGAAGACGGGCGGGAGGATCTGGAGCTGGATGCAGGTGATAAGGAGGAACCATGGGAGAAGACGACGGATGTTGTCGAGGCGAGCGCGGAGAGATGAGAGACGAGGAGTGGATGCAGGAGGAAGCGCGACGCAAGAGCTGGAGGAGAGGACTGCGAGGACGGAGGAAAGAAGAGGAGGAGCAGGAGGCGGAGGACGATGACTGGACGGTGCTCCCGAGGTCGTGAAGGACAAGGCCGCCGCGATGTGCAGGACGGGGGTGCAGAATCCTCCCTCCTCACCCCGGGCAGCCCCCACCCGCCCGCCGACTATACGGCCGGGCGCTTGTGCTCAGCATGTCGCGCCGCTGGCTCTGGCCCGCCACGCCGCTTCGCGTCGCGCCGACCGCTTCCCGAGTCCCGAGCGCCCGCCTGTCCCCGCCTCAAGCGACGCGGCACGGAAGCGCACGGTAGCAGCTTGCAGGGCAGAGCGTGTCATCAGGGGAACGACAACGAGAATAAGGAGGAGGCGGAGGAGGAGGAGGAGGAGGAGGAGGAGGCGGAGGAGGAAGAAGAGGATGAGGAGGAGGAAGAACAAGAGAGAAGTCGAAGGAGTCGGAGGAGGAGGAGGCGGAGGAGGAGGAGTACGATCAGGGGAAGGGTTGGGGAGGAGAAGAGGGGATGATGGGAAGGAGGCTGACGAGGACAAGGAGGACGAGGAGGAGAAGAAGAGGAGGCGTATCTAGCTGCCTACGGCAAGTCCCGCCACCGTGCCTGAGTTGTGGGTTATATGAGCCTAGTGGATATCCGTTGGATTCTCGCGGTAGGCCTCTCGGGGGCTTCTTGGGTGCAGTTTTGAGGCCTTTTGGGGGCCGGTTTTGGGCTTTTGGGGGGCCTCTTGGGGCCTCTTGATGGCCTCTTGTGGGCCTTAGGGCATCTGGGGCGCCTCTTGGGGCCTCCTGCGGGCCCCTTGAGGGGGGAAGGCTTGGATTTTCGGTTCGTATTCCCTCTCTGGTGCCTCTTTGGGGCCGACTTGGGGCCCTCTTGGGCGCCTCTTAGGCCGTCTTGGGGCTCTCTGGGAGGCCTCTTGGGCCGCTTTGGGGTGGGGGCCTCTTGCGGCATCTTGGAGCATCGGAAATAGGAAAAGGCGAGAACTCCCAAATCGTTGGAAAAACTTAAAACCAGTTATTTATTATTGTCTGTGGGAGCTCTCCTGGGAGGCCTCTTCTGAGGCCTGTTGGGGCGCCTTGGAAGCCAGTTGCGCCATCTTGAGGCCATCTTGAGCGTCCTCGAGCGATCGTTCGGCGACTCGGGGCCCTCTTGGACCGCCCTGGGCCGTCATGGAAGCCTTGGAGAGCCCCAGGCAGTTCTCATGGCTCCCCAGGGACCCCCGGGAAGATGGCAGGTGCGCTCGGCGAGGTGCGGCGGGGAGAGGGGGGGCCGTAGAATATTGTTTTTTTGTATAAAAAATCACTACCAGACAGCACTTGGCATTCTAGCACGCCTCAACCTGCCAGGGGGGGCACGGTGGCGGCCTTTCCGGTGTGCTCCCGAGGACCGGCGGCCAGGTGTGCGAGACGCGGGCCGCCGACGCCATCTTCTGCGAGCTGCTGGGCCGGTCCCGCCGCCCAAGGGGAGTCGACTTCTCCGCCGCGTCTGTCTCGTGAGTTGAGCGTCGCTCGACGACGACGAGGATGGCCGCGGCGACATCTACGAGGAGAGGCCCCGGTGTTCCTCCCGTCCAGTCTCTCGAGCTGCGCCCAGCCGTGGGGCAGGGGGGCCTCCAGCAACAACCACGCGCCTCACACAGAGAGCCGTTGCGTGGCGAGGCGGCGGCAGCGAGGCCTGTGCGGGCGCGAAAGGGCACCTCCGTCCTTCAGGTCCGACGTGGCCGTTTAAATCTTGGAGCCGCACGGATTTGTGATGATGGCCCTGGGGCCCGAACATGGGCCACGGCGCCCAGTTCAACAAACATTGCAGCGCGTGGTCAAGCCATTCTCTGGGCGCGGCAAAGATCTCTGTCGAGGTCCTCGCCCGCCCCGCCCCCAGGCGCGGGTTGGAAACCACACCCTTTGCAAACCACACCCTTCGGAGTCGCCGATTGTATCTCGGGGTCTTCACAGTTCAATCGGGAAACAGAGCGCACAGACACAAACCATCGTCGATCCTCCAGACAAGATGCAAGCTGCGGGAAGTGGGAGGGGAAGACGAGAACGTCCAGAAAATGTGGGAATAAGGAGAGCCCTGGGATGTGTGCCTACTTGTTTGCGTGTGTCTCTGGGCCCCATTCAACCGCGCTCCCCGTGCAGGTCCCACCCCGCCCTGGCGCAGGAGCACTGCGCCGCCGCGCCGCTGGCGCAGCGGCCGACGGCGGCGGCGCCGCCGCCGCCGACAGCGGCGCCTGCGGCGCCAGCGGGACCGGCGGCGGCGGCGGCGCGGTCGGCGCCAGTGCTGCAGGGCGCGCTGCTGGACCTAAAGAGGCGCGTGACGTCCAGCAAGGATCGGGGTGATGGGCCTGTTTTCCACCACCACCACCATAAGTTGGAAGGGGAGTGGATCCTCCTCCTCCTTCTCCTCCTCCTCCTCCTCTTCGTCCTTCTCCTCCTCCTCCTCCTCCTCCGCCTCCTCCTCCCTCCCCCATCCAACTTATGGTGGTGGTGGTGGAAAACAGGCCCATCACGGGGGGGGAAGGGGGGGAGGACAAGCTAGGTGCGCTCGCGTCATATCTGACGTCCTACCCCTCCCTCCCAGCCCTTGCCATGGCGTTGATCTCCTTCCCATTCGCACAGGCGGATGTCGTAGCAGGGCGCAGCATTACATGGCATAGCATGGTGTTGAAGATCAACGCGTTGCCTGACATGGCATGGCGTGGCGACGCCCCAAAGTGGGCGGGGCTTCTGCGGCCCAGAGATGCAACGAATCGACACCGAATGTGAAATCACTTCCGATGGTGGTTTCGGGGGGGCCATTTTTTGATTTCGGAGCTTGTTTGGAAGGACCGACAAGCAAACCGTGGCATAGCGCTGGAAATGATGACGCCAGCGCTGCAGCGGGAGCACGACTCGAAACGAGCGGAAGCGCGGAAATGATGCCAGCGATGCAGCGGGAGCACGGTTCGGAGGACGCGTAGCCTGACACTGCATGGCGTGGCGACGCCCCAACGTGGGGGGGGGCTTCGGCGGCCCCAAACAGCATCGAATCGACACCGAATGTGTAATCACTTCCGATGGTTGTTTCGGGGGGGCAGTTTCTAGGTTTTGGCGCACATTTGGAAGGACCGAAAATAATGCCGTGACATGGCGCTGGAAATAATGACGCCAGCGTTGCAGCGGGAGCACGATTTGGAACGAGCGGAAGCGCGGAAAGGAGTCCAGCGCTGCTGCTGGAGCACGATTCGGAACTGGCGGTAGCCCGAAACTGATGCCAGCGCTTCAGCGAGAGCAGCATTTTGAAACACATGCCAAATGACAACCCAACTCCCGGGAGTCCTGTGTGTAAAAAACCAGTGCGCGGAGTGGGCCGAACATTTCCCAGACGTCACCAGGGGAGAGAGGAGAGTAGTATTCATACTGTGTAATTGTTCAGAGGAAAAGGTACCCACATCGTTCCCTTTCTCCCATGTTTGCTTTTTGGTGGGTCTCCCGGGAGGCTCTCGTCGCCAAAGCTGGATTCACTTCGGAATTCAGGGCAGAACGAACCCTGGGAGAGGTCCAGGGAGTGGCGGTACCAGTACTTTTTGGGTCTTTCAGAGATAGAGGGGGGGATGGGAGTGGGTGTGGACGGAGGGGGAGGCGGAGAGGATGAGGAGGAGGAGGAGGAGGAGGAGGAGGAGGACGAGCAGGAGGAGGAGGAGGAGGACGGTGGGTGTGAGGGAGGAGGAGGAGGAGGAGGAGAGGAGGAGGAGGAGGAGGAGGAGGAGGAGGAGGAGGAGGCAGGAGGAGGAGAGGAGGGAGGAGGAGGAGGAGGAGGAGGAGGAGGAGGAGGAGGAGGAGGAGGGAAGAGAGAAGGAGGATGGGGAGGGAGGAATTCGGCGCCATGCGTGAGGGTCACCCCATCTGTGCGGAACGGACCCACGATCGAGCCCCTTCGGCGGCCAAACGGGTTGAATCCCCACCACGGCTGCCGTAGCTGAGCCCATTCAGCTGCCCGTGCGGCGGCCGAACGGGCTCAGACGCCGAACGGGCTCAGAAGGGAACGCTGGGGCGAAGGAGTTCCAGGAGCAGACGGCCAACCTCGCGAACACGATGGGCTGCGGCTTCGTGAAGAAGGCGGAGTCCTGCAGCGGCTACGTGAGCGACCTGCTCTTCTGCCTGCAGTTTGCCGGTCAACTGGCCGACTTCCAGGCGACGGCGACGACGCCGACGACGTTGAAGTTGGCGACGACGGCTGCGGCGGCGTCGGCGGCACCCACAGACGACGACGACGACGGCGACGGCGACGGCGGCGGCGGCGGCGGACGACGGACGATGACGACGGACGACGGCCACAATTGACGACCGACGACGACAACGGCAACGAGGACGACGACGACGGGCGTCGGCGGCGGCGACGACGGCGACTGCGACGGCAGCGACGCCGACGTGCCACGGACGACATACGATGATGACGGCCCACGACGGACGACGACGGTGTCGAAGGGGGCGACGGCGTCGGCGTCGGCGTCGGCGGTGGACGACGGACGAGGGACGACGGACGACGACGACGGACGACGACGACGCTGACGACGATGACGACGACGTTGAAGTTGGCGGCGACTGCGGCGGCGGCGGCGGCGGCACCCACGGACGACGACGATGATGAGGACGACGGCGACGGTCACGGCGACTGCGACGGCGACGGCGACGGCGACGGCGGCGGCGGCGGACGACGGACGACGGACGACGACCACAATTGACGACCGACGACGACCACGGTAACGAGGACGACGACGACGACGGGCGTCGGCGGCGACGATGGGCGACACGACGACGACTGCGACGACGGCGACTGCGACGGCAGCAACGCCGACGGACGACGGACGACAGACGACGATGACGGCCCGCGACGGACGACGGACGACGATGGCAACGACGACGGACGACGACGACGACGTTGAAGTTGGCGACGTCGGTGGCGGCGGCGTCGGCGGCACCCACGGACGACGACGACGATGACGATGACGACGACGGTGACGACGACGGCGACAGCGACGTCGACTAGACGACGGCGGCTGCGGACGACGGACGACGGACGACGATCACAATTGACGACGGACGACGACAACGGTTACGACGACGACGACGACGACGACGACGACGGGCGACGACGGCGATTGCGACGGCAGCGACGCCGACGTGCGACGGACGACAAACGACGAGGACGCCCCACGACGGACGACGGACGACGACGGTGTCGAAGGGGGCGACGGCGTCGGCGTTGGCGTCGGCGGCGGACGACGGACGACAGCGACGACGACGACGACGACGACGTCGACGACGACGACGACGACGACGACGACGGTGGACAACGACGACGACGACGACCACCACCACCACCACACCTCAGGACCTATCCTGGGGTGCGACCCGACCATAATGACAGGGCCCATCCAGCGGTGTTCCGAGGACGCCCCCCGCCCCTCCCGAGGCTCAGAGAGGGCCACAAGCGCCTCAGAACCTCGATCGTTGGCCCTCGGTCGACGACGTCGTCCCTGCACGGTGGCGGCGGCGGCGGCGAGGACGGCGGCGGCGACCAGGGCATGCCCGGCGCGAGGGAGGAGCAGCACTACTGCAGCAGCATCGACCAGAGCCTGCCCGCCCTGTCCATGGTCCAGCCCCGCGGGCGGTCGGCCACCCCGAGGGCCGCAGGTGCTGCCGCCGTGGGGGGTCGGGCGACGCCATGGTCTGGCTAAGACAGGCCTGCTCCGCCTGGTGGGCCCCCGACTGGTGCGGCAGCAAGTCACGGGGGCCTTGTGCATCCTCGCAGTTCCGCCCTCAGACTGCACTGGCGTTCGATCAGCGTTTGGTAATCGATGAGATGGAGCCGTTTGTTGCGTCGCTTGGTGTGGCTAGCGTCGATTCGCAAGAGCCACCAAAATGGTACGGGAGGCTCCCATGAGCGGCCGCAAATCAGACCCCTCGCGTCACAAAAAAACGCTGATGATTTGTTCCCCCAATCTTCGGCTTCTGGGGGCCTTAGCTGGGCCCTTGGACCATCAAAAACGGCTCACAAGGATGAGCCGACCCCAGGGAGTGGGTCGAGATTTCTAGGGAACTGCAGAAATCATGGCTTCGAGGGTCTGGGCCTGGTGGGCCTCCCCTCCACATGGACCTCGGCCTCTCCCAAGACAGCAGGGAGCTGCCGCAGGTGGCCCTGGCCCAGGAAGCCCCCCCCCAGCTTGCCGCGCCCTCGTTGGCACCCCCCAGGCAAGGAGGTGTGCGTGCATGCTTTGGATGTTGTCGGGCCTTCCGCTGGGGAGTCGACCGCGCCGGGGGGGCGGGGGCTTCTCCAGAGGCAGAAGGCGGCCCAAGAGCGCCCCCGAAACTCGGGCCGGGCGAAAAAGGGGGGGGTACGAAATCTGCTGCATGCAGCTGGTTTCGGCCCCACCGAGGGGCCCATTCCTCGATACATGGGCGCCTCCCGGCGCCAGGAGGCGCCAGGAAAATCAGCCACGTGAGCTGATTCTCAAACCCCCCCTTTGCTATCCCCCCCTTTCGCCCGACCCGAGAAACCTCGAGCCCTGACGGCGACGACGGCGGCGGCAACGACGGCAACGACGACGACGGTGACTTCGAGGGGCGGCGGCGGCGTCGGTGCGAGGGGGTCTGGTTGCTGCCGGGGCGGCCTGGCCCTGGGGCCTGGCCGACCGCCCGCGGGCCCGGCAGCGGGCGTCGCCAGTGGGCTTCGCGGCCCTGTTGCAGGCGGGGCGTCAAGAGAATGTGTTTGTTGTTACCCTCTGGGCCATAGCGCGCGTTGTGCCCCCTCCCCTCAGCGAGCGAAGAACGGTATAAAATCAACTTTTTCGCCGTCGGGGACACCTGCCCCTGGGCGGCTGGTGGAAAGTTTATATCCCTACGGTGCCACCGGAAGGGTATAAACTTTCCAGCCGCCCTGGGGCAGGCGCCCCCGACAGCGAAAACGTTTATTTTACACCGTTCTTCGCCTGTTAATTCCCACATCCCTCCCCTACCCCTCATATAGCGTAACGCTCCCCTCCCCCCATTGCGTCCCTGGCACGAGTGCGTCCGGCACCACGGTCTGTGGTGCCGCACCCACACGGTGGGGGGGCCGTTGCGTTAATTTTGCTGCCCCCCCCTTCCCCGCCCCACCTCCCACCCCACCCCCATGACGCCTGTTATCGCTGCGGATAAAGATGCTCTCCAAGAGACGGCGTTCACTAGTTAACTATTCGCCCGCGTGAGAAATCTCTATCCCCATGATCGGCATCGCCTGGTCTCGATGTCGATCTCGAGGACTCCCTCAGTCTCTGAAGGAGCAAACCTAAGTCAGGAGGGGAAAAAACACACAGACACAATTAATCCTCGATTCCCCGGAAAATATGGGCAAATATGGGAATTGGGGGGGAAGACAAAAAAAACCAAATATATGAGAAATATGGGGAATAGATTTATTTGTTTGTATTTATTTGTGTGTCCCCGGGCCCCTTCACTAAGGTTGTCCTCGCCGTTTTTTGCTCGTGAATCTTAGGGGTATAGGGATAAGCTCCAGGCGGGGTCCACCACCCAGACCTCCGAAGGAGGTTCTTCTCAGGCACGCTGTCTTTCCCTTGATTTCTGCGTCAGGGGTGCCTTTCCCGATTCTTGGGGAGGGCTCCTCCCTCTCCTCCCCCTCCTCCTCCTCCTCCTCCTCCTCCTCCTCCTCCTCCTCCTCCTCCTCCTTCTCCTCCTCCTCCTCGTCCTCCTCCTCCTCCTCCTCAAAGGCGGGTCTGGGTCGAAAAAAACCTCCAGGGAAGGGGTCGATACCCGTGGGCCGCGGGCTGATAAAAGCAAATCGTCGAAGGACTGGGTGCGCAGACGTGTAGGGCGGAGAGGAGTATGCACATACACCGACCTTGCCCAGGCCCATCCTGGACTCAGGATCGATGGCGTACGTGCACACCGACATTCCCGCGGACGCCGCCCTCTTTACCCGGACCTCCAATGTCACATGCCATCGACCCCGCAAGGAGGTCCCGACCCGTTCCCCAGAATCGATGTCTCATCCTGAGTCGTGTTGAGGCGGGTCCGGTACAGTCAACGCGCCTAGTAAGGACGCGCGCCTTCATCTAGGATGCCCTTGCGCCCTTGCCTCTGTGGCCCGTTCCTGGCCGTTTTCACTGGTCGCCGCCGCCCAACAAAAATCCCCACTTCAGCCTCCAAGGGTCTTGCGTCCTTACCACGCGTCCTTAATATACGTTTTGACTGCAAGGGCCCCACACGTCCTTAATAGACGTCCTTGATCTACGAGGCCGAAGCTCACTGTACGTCCTTAATATATTGTAAGGGCCCCATACGTCCTCAATATCTATATATATATGTCCTTACGTACGCGTCCTTGTTTTTTTCAGAAGAATTGCAGCCTGCATCGAAGCTTTGTTGTTGTCCCAATCGGCAGTGCCACAAAACTACTGGGAGCCATCCGCATGCAGGCGTAGTGTCGCACTGCATTTGGATGACCTCCCTCCCTCCCAGGTTCATGCGGGCGTAGAGGCGCACCGCATTCCCCTGAGAGGCGCAAGCATGCACGCAAGTACAATACTTGCTTCGCGCTGCTGCTGGCGACACACCATACGTCCGAAGCTGCTTGTGTCCTTTTACCATACGTCCGAAGCTGCGAAACGCCTTCCGTGGGGATTGCTTCGTGCCTCGAGGGGGGTCTGGGCAGGTCGCCCTTGGAGAGCGCCCGCCCTCGCGCCCGCGGCGCAGCCCGACCCGCGGCGCGCGCGCAGGCCGCCGCGCGAGGTCGCCACGGCACCTCGCGCGGGGCGCACGTTGCGTTGAATTCAGGAGGGAACCAAAAACACACAGGCACAATGAATCGTCGATTCCCCAGAACATCTGGGAAAAAATGTGGGAAGTGGGGGGGAAGAGACAAGAACACAGAAAATATTGGAAAAGATTGGGAATCTCTTGATTTGTGCGTATTGATTTGTGTGTGTGTGTGTGTCCCAGGGCCCCTTCATTCACGTCGCCCAGGTGGGCTCACGCGAGGCCGAGCGCGGTCCGGAGGACGACCTGGCGCAGGAGGGCCGCGGGGCCCGGCCGGCCCGGGCCTGGGCGGGGGGGGGGGGGGAACCCTGGGATGCGGGCGTCGCGCTCTCGAGTCAGGGAGATGGGCGTCGGGTGATGCTAGAGGTACCCCTGGCCCAAGGTATCCCCAGGATTCTCGGGGTGGCCCAGACGGCCTCCAGGGCACCCCTCACGAGGCCCAGAGGGCCCCAGGGGCTCAAAAATGGAGCGAAAAGCCGGGGGCACCTTGGGCCAGGGGCACTTCTAGCAACACCCGATGGGCGTCGGGTTGGGGGGATGGGGTAGCGAGGAAAGAACGGCTCGTCCGCATGATCTGCGTTTGCCGAGTGTGCTTATCGCGTTGTCGTGCCACGCATCTTCCCGGCCCCCCTCCTTCCAGCACGGTAGTTGTCTTTCTCAATTGTCAGGAGGGGAAAAAACACACAGACACAATTAATCGGCGATTCCCAGAAAATATTGGAAAATATGGGAGGTGGAGGGGAAGACAGAAACCCAGAAAATATGGGAAAATATGGGGGATTATTTTATTTGTGTGTATTTATTTGTGTGTCCTGGGGCCCCTTCAAATTGAGAGAGGCGCATACGTGGTTCCAGGCGCGAGAGCTACGCAAGGCGCGTGGACTTAGGAGCATTGCAAGGCGCGTGGATTCGCGACGGGCCCCGCTTCCATGCGGCGTCGGCGCGCTCCGTCGCCAAATCGTGCGACAGTAGCGCTGTGCTTCCAGGGGGGGCCTTGCCCGAGTCGTGGATCTGGCGCCCCCGCGCCAGATTCATGCATGCCTGATCCATATCACTGTGCGCCCGATTGTGTCGTTTCGGCAGGCGTGGTCTAACTTTCGAAGCTCAGAGCGCGAACTACCTGCCCCGCTTTCGCCTCCAGGCAAAACCAAGTCATACCGCGCGCCTCCTCGTCAAGCGGCCTGACCAGTACAGGCCGTAGTTTGGCATCGCTTGGTATCTCTTGGAAGCGAGGGTGGTCAAAAGCGAGGTAGGTTAGTTTGCCCTATAGAAGCGCACGTCCTCCACGGAGATGTGAACATCTCCAGTCGTCAGCACTCTCGGCCTCCGGCGGCCAGCATTCCTATCCCGAGACTGGCAGACAACGGCTCGGGACGAGAAGCCAGTCCCAGGGAAGGGGTCGAGAGGCCCAGCGGGCATGCTCGAACTCTCGAAGGATCAAGGCTTTCCAAATTGGGTCCGAGTAGATGGGGTCGAAGGATCGTGCCGCATCGCCGATGCATCGGCGATGCGGCGCGATCCTTCGACCCCGTCTGCTCCGACCCAACCTGTCTCTACTGAGATCTGGGCGTCGTAACCGTTTGCTCACCAGGCGTTCTCTCACTCTCGAAGGCTTGGCATCGCTCGGACGTGTGCATGTTTCCTTCGGCGAGGACCATCGAGGAGCACCCTTGATCATTTGGCGAAAAACCACGCACGAAACCGAAAAAAGCACAGGGAATGGACGCCCCAGCGATGGCCAGAAGCAGGGACAGCGGCATAAACACAGATCATCGGAGCTCCGCGTGGCTCTCCTGGGCCCGCGATGCTCCCCCCCCTCACCACCCACCAAACCACCCCAACCCAACCCGAAGGCTCAGATTTACCCTCGATTTCTAGTGGGGGGGGGTCCGGGAACATCGAAAAAACACATATGGAGCCCATACCCCCCCCAACCCGAAGTTCGGGTCTTCGGGTTGGGTTGGGGTGGTCTGGTAGGTAGTCCCCCCCCCCCTGCGCTCCCGATAACATTATTTTGGGGGGCCCAGCGCGTGGACCTTCGAACGTTGATGCTCGTATGCTGCTTTCTCTTCCGAGCTCTGCGACGAGCTGCGCACCCTGCCCCGCACGGGAAAGGGGCGGTGAGCACGAGGGGCCGAGCGGGGAGGAGGAGGAGGAGGAGGAGGAGGAGGAGGAGAGTAGGAGGAGGAGGAGGAGGCGGAGGAGGAGGAGGAGGAGGAGGAGGATGAGGAGAAGGCGGAGGAACGAGGAGGAGAGTAGGAGGAGAAGGAGGAGGAGGAGGAGGAGGAGGAGGAGGAGGAGGAGGAGAAGGACGGGAGGAGGAGGAGGAGGAGGAGGAGGAGGAGGAGGAGGAGAGAGGAGGAGGAGGAGGCCGGACACCCCCGCTGGCTGGGGTTCGCCTGGCTGCAGGCATTCCTCGGGTTCTGATCCCCGGCCGGCGTTTCCCAGAGGTCTGACCTGCGGGCGCAGGGCTCGCACGGGCCTGCCTGCCAGCGGCTTCGGGCCCTGGGGCCTTCCCAGATCGATGTGGCCAGAGAGAGCCGCTGACAAGTGGGGTCTCGGGGGGGCTCGGGTTCTCGACGTCCGAGCTCAAATTCGTGCGGCTTTGCCATTTCCGTCGGGGGCCCTCCTGGGGACGGCCCTTGTCGAGTCCCCCTCGAAAGCCAGGGGGGCGCACACCATCGATTCCCCCTCTCCGCCTTCCCCCCCGTGCCCTGCAGTATGCACGTCAAACAAAAAATCTGCCTGGCAGCAGGTGCCCCAGAAAGTTTCGTGCCCCCAGATGGCCCCAGGGACCCACAGCATCTCAAGGTTCATTATCGCAATATATTTATCGTTTTTGCTCATTGTATTGGGAGGGTGGGGATGCAGAGAAGGCTGGAGAGAAGCGAGGCGTTGCCTGTGCACCTGTATCAGTCCTGCCTCGGCCTCCCAAGGAGATGACACATGACCTCGAGATGAATTTCAACAAGATCGCGCCTTTCGGCAAGGAGGACGCTCATGGGCGTCCAGTCCTCCAGTCTTCATCCTGCTCCGCCGCGCTCAGCGGAGCCCTCTTCCTTTTCTTCCCCCTCGCCTGGATGACAGGCCCCATAAGGGGGTGCTGCTCGTTGTGAGGAGGAGCGTCTGTAGCGACATTTGACGACGGGGCTTGGGACGGGAAGGTGTACTGCAGCATCGCGAATGCATCATCCGTTTACTCTAGTCCTCCTCATCCTCGTCCGTGGCTACGGCGGTTCAAGGCGGCATCTTTTGATTTGCGGCTCAAGCGATCTTCGGCATGTTTTGATATGACTTCTTTTTCTCACAAAGTTTGTTGTCGTATTGTCTGATCTTCCAGTACGGATGAAGCCAGTGGTATTCTCTCTGTTCTTTTTGGACCTTCGCGTCGGATTATGGCTGGGTGCACTGGACAGCATTTCTCGAGGTTGCAGGCTGCTGCTCATGCCAATCGGCGAGGGTTATCTTCTCCCCTTCGCAGGCGGTATCAGCAACTTGGCATTGTCTGCAATTCGGTGCGTTACCATACGGGTCAATGGGAGGGTAAATCTGTTCCACCCTCGAGTCCGGATTTGCTGCCGCATGTCCTGATCGACTTCGTTCTCTTTGCGTCCTGTCTCCTGGGTGTTCTAGACTTAGGCCTGGTACCGTCTCTGACGTGCGGCAAGAGGCCCCAGCCTTTGTGCCTTCGCCGCCGCCGGTGGCCCAAGTTCCGGGGACGAGGGTTTCGGTCCAAGGGTTGCTGCATGCGGCGTCAGCCGTGTACGACTGGCAGCTAGCCTCCTAGAGCTCCCGGGCTGAGGACATGAACGCCACGATCGCGCTGTTCAAGGGCACCTTGGGGAAGGCGTGTCCCGGATCATGTCCGTCCTCGTATGTACCTTCGGATTCGACGTCTCCGTGGGGGCCTCTCCTGCGGCGTCGCTTGTGCAGGACGCTGACGTCTTTGGCGATGAGCAAGTGGCCACTGCAGGTAGGACAGAAGGTACGACAATAACGGACAGAGTGGTGAACGTGTTATCTGACGCGTTCGATTGGGAAGCTTAAGGTTGGTGTTCGTTAGATTGTTTTTCAGCTGCCTGGCATCGTCACGGTCTGTGGGCGAACGCCATATGGAGCTTACCGATTTGAGCGAAGAGCGGCTGGATCACACGATCACCGAGTTGACGGGCTCCCTGCAGGCAAACGTTGGCGCTATTTTTGAACGTCTCGGAGCCGTGGAGGGCGTCAGTCGCTCTTCAAGTGTGCCTGGCTCCACTGGCACTGGCGTGTCGCCCTCTTCGCCGGATTCTCGCGCAAGGTCTTCGGGATTAGATGCGAAGTCCCCTTTACGACCTGCAGCCGTTTTCACACCATGCCGATTTGGAGGTCTGTGCAACAGTGGCGATTCTATGTGGGGGAGGGCGCCGCCTGGGGGGAGAAGTGCGTCGAGGCGACGACGAGGCATCGACAGGTCCAGACTTGAGAGTATGTCTGCCGAGGCCGATGTTCTCGAGTAGTTTGAAGTACTGGGCTCGAGTGTTCCCGGGCTCCCACCTGAGCCTGACCTTGATTGGACATCGCCTCGGCCTGTTCAGCTAAATGATTCCCCACCTCCTAAGATGGGGCTCCTGCTTTTACTCGGATGCCTCTAGGCATCCTGCCTCACTCTCTGCATTGTCTTCATCAAGCCTTATGTCTGTCTCATATCATGCCGATACGCGTGTTCAGATCACTCACGCCCATCACGGGGTCAATCACGGATCTGACAGGCCCTCTCTTTTTCACGGGCCCCATCACAAAGCCACTCTTCCTCACTCAGACTCAGCCGCACCACTTCCCCGATCAGATTCAGTCAGACCCAAAATCCGCCCAGACCCATTCAGGGAATGAGCCTCAGACGCGCGCTCACTCATACACATTCATATTCGATCACTGTGGCAGACTCTTCCTCACTCAGACTCACTCTGATTTTTCTGGTGCGCCAGTGACCCAGTTGCTTTGTGCAATTCGTAGCTGAGTTTGTATATTTTCCTCCTTGTCCTCCTCCTCGTCCGTCTCCTCCTCCTTCTCCTCCTCCTTCTCCTCCTACTTCTCTTGCGGATATGGCAGCCGTCTGTTGTGATCCTTGCCCCCCAGATGTCTCTCCATCGGTGGTCCAATGCTCACCACGATATAGAAAAGGCGTGTCACTTGGGCGCTCCAAGGGGGAACCGCCTGGGCGGAATATGCTCCAGGCGTCGCGCCCAAATCGAGGGGATGTTTCAAGCGGTTTGCCCGTGGCATTTTTCTTGTGGTGGTCTAATGCCCACAATCATATAGCAAACTTGGTGGCACTGGAACACCCCAAGGGCGGGCGCAATGATTGGGGACACTCCAAAAATCGCGTCCACATTGTGTGGATTTCTCAGGCGGTTTGCCTGCCTCCGTCCCAGGACTTTTCCATTTTTGGTGGCCCACTGCCCACCGCGACGCAGCAGGCGTGGCACCTGGGCACCCGAAGGGGGAGCCGCCAGGGGTACGGACACGCCAAGGTTTGCGCCCAG